CCCCCCCCCCCCCCCCCCCCTCCCCCCTCTTTTGTATTACATACATATATATATATATATATATACATATATACATATATACATATATACATATAAACATGCACGTACGCACGTACGCATGTACGCATGCACGCATGCATGTATATATGCTAAGCTATAACAACAACAACAACAGCAGCAGCAATCAATAGCAGGTCAGAAGCGAAGCGACGGCCTTCTCCGAGCTGAACTCCTTGAACTTCTTACGGTACGCAACCCAGCTGATGCATTCTCGGTTTTTCGAAAGACTCCCCCCTCCCCTCCCCTTCCCACCTCCCCTTCCCCTTCCCCTTCCCCTCCTGCCCTTCGGAACCTGGGGAACCTTAGAACCTTAGAACCTTAGAACCGTGGAACCCTAGACCCAGGGGAAGATATATATATATGTACCGTAGAAGAAGCCAGTGTCGAGCCATCATCCTACAGGTACCTAGATGTTGTTGGGGCGGGGTCCTTCAGACTCACTCTTTACGTGGATGATCGATCACCTTCGTCGACGATGGGGAGGGAAGGGGAAAGAGAAGGAGAGCGGATCACTGGCAGCCTTGCCGCCTGAACGGAGCCCTAGAAGCATCATAAACAAACAGGAGGAGAACGTCGGTGAAATATCGTCATGTCTTTTTTTACATTGCTGCTTTTCTACCTTACGTCTAACTACCTACTCAAGCTTCGAGCGATGCGAGCGTTCCAATATTCAAACCACGAGAGCGTCCCACCCCCGAGGAGCCAAAGCATTTGTCTCCTATCAGCTGCTTCCCACATACAAAATCAGATCCGTGAGAAGAGAGAAACATTGAGCAGATGCAGCCTTCCCCGTCAGAAAAAGTCGACACATGTCCCGGCCAGCAAGAAAATGTAAACATACACGAAGATATGATACCCATCGTCCCGCTCGCGCCGCGCGCGGTACAGTACAGCCAGGCACGGCGCAAGGTCCAAGAGTCCATTTTCGCAGGCACACACACTAGCAGAAAAACTTGCTCGCAAAAGAATGGGATCCCCGTCCAAGAACGCCGTTGCCCACCAATTCATACATCGAATGGATAAACCAACGCTGACGAGTGTTGCTTATCTCTGTCTATCGTTAACTTGGGCTCTACTTCCCTGGAGTGGAAGTACGTACGCGTCCGCGTCTGGAGTTGACCTGCTGTTCCTGCTGTATGCCATATCCCATACCCATCCCAGCATACCCGTATGCACCAATCCCCATGCCTCCAAAGCCCGGGGGGGCGAAGGTGCTGCCCGCGAGCATCGGACTAGCGCCGATCTGTGACTGCGGAGGCTGGATCGGAGCTGGGGTGCGGTAGTTGTCCACCGATGGGCTACCAGTTCCATAACCAAAACCTGCTTGCATGGTAGGGTAGAAACTGTTGATCGGAGGCGTGGCGCGGGCCAGGATTTGTTGCTGGTACTGTAATTGTTGCATGTTGATGGGTGGGATCTGGACAGCCGAGGGGTTGAAGAGCTGGGCTTGGACACCATAGGACGGGTAGGGTCCCATGTTCGAGTCCATGCTCTCGGTACGTTGCATGTTCATTCCCATCTCGTAGCCGGACTGCATCTGTGGGAAGAACTGGCCGTTACTAAACTGCTGGGGCGGCATTTGGCTGCTGGCTTGGCTGTGCTGCGAGCCCGGTCTCTGACGCTCGGTGGAGCCGTGGTCGCGGCTAGGGCCCTGGCTGGCGTTTCTGGTGGAGAGTCCAACCTCATCCATCAATCGCTTGTAGCCTTGCGCCGGTTGAGCCTTGAGACGTTGGAGAACATTTCGCACGTTCTCAACGACCTCCGGTCGCATACCCTCGTCGAAGAAGGGAGTGGTGAGGACCTTGAAGATCAGAGTAGCACCACAGGCGTGATCAGCAAGGATGGCCTCCAGAGTCTCGTCATTCTGGGAGAAGAAGAGTGCCTTGAGGATGAGATCTCGGGCCTCCGGTTCATTCTTCTGGTTGATGACCTTGAGAACTGTGAGGTAGGCGACCTTGTGGGTGCACAGGTGAACGAGCTGAGGCACGAGCTGAGGCGCCAGCACGGTCCGGCGGTTAGGGAAGCTGCAGGTATCCAGGAACCAGGTGAGGAGGAGAGCACCGTTTTGGTTAGTAGCCAACTGAACACTGTGGAGCGCAATGGCGGCAGCAAGCATCCGCTGTTGGTCTCTGGTAGAGTGGTGGCTCTCGAGGCATGCGCGCATCGCTCTGGCGCCGTACCTTCCCTGGGCAATTTCCCACATCTGGCTCAGCATGGATTCGAAGATGAAGTCGTTGAATGGGGATCCGAACTTCAAGCAGCATTGCAGGACGTAGTTGCCGTACTGGTCGAGGAAGAGCGGAACGGTGTAGGGCTGCAGGTTCTTGATGATCATGCTCTTTTGCTTCGGGGTCTTGCAGACGTCGATCTGTCAGGTATTAGCGCACATCCTCTTGAGGGCAGGAGGAGGGGGACTTGCAATCTTCTGAGCCGCCCATGTGCCGTTCTTGTGCACACCGATCTCAGCCATGTGAGGAGCAATCTCCGTCAACATGGCGTCTCTCATATCATCTGTGCAATGCTCGAACAGCTTCTGCACGACCGTGTTTCCCAGGTAGTCGGAAGAGAGCTCGGCAATCTCAGGCAGCATGTCAGCAGCGATGTTTTCAATCTCCTGCTGCGACCAGCTCTGGTTGTCAATCCTCTTCCGGATATCGCGAAGCTTGGGGGCATCGTGAACCCGGTTGTGCGAGGGCTCGTGGATAGGGGGGATCTCCTGTTGGTGTCCCTCGTAACCAATCGCAGAGCCCAAGCTGGCCGTGATCTTGTGGATATCTTTCCCTTCCGCTCCGAACTGGGCGACAATGCTCAGGATATCGGTCTTCATCTCTGCCAGGACGGGGAGGGTCAGGGGCGCAGTTCCAGGGCGGGAGGTGGCACCAGCAGCGCCGGGATTGGCACCATTGGCCTCCTTCTTGAAAGGATCCGGGCTCGGAGATGGGAACTGGCCATCGGGGCCAGGCGTGCTGGTAGGGGAAGGGGGCTTGGCAAAGTTGATGCGGATCGGTCCAGCGCCAGGGAAGATCTCGGTGCCGTTCATCATGTTCTTTGCCTGAGCGGCGCTTTCAACGTGATGGTAGTTGACGAATCCGCAGTTCTTGTGGGTGAGCACACGAACGTTCTCGATGGAACCGTGGACCTTGAACATCTCCGTCAACGTCGTCATGGTGGTCGACGCGGGGATGTTTCCGAGCCACAGAGCGCGGGTTGGGCCATCCAGGTTATCGTCTGGGTTGAGGTGGTCATTCCTGCTGCTTGATCGACCCAGGGAGATGCCAGCTGCCGCAGCCGTGAGTTCGTCGAACTCCCGAGACTCGTTCATGGCCAGGTCAGAGGCTGTGACGCTGCTCTCCAGTCGGGAGCTCACAGGGTAATAATTCTTCAACAGCCTGGAGTTCGGGGAATCGAGGACACCCGCAGTCCTAGCTCGGGGTCGGTTCAGAGACGCCTGGTTGGCGTATGCCTGGACCGCGTGGTTGTGAGCCTGGATAGCCGCGTTGGTAGCGGCAAGCTGCATCTGAAGCTGGGCTTGTTGCGCCTCGTATGGAGTCATCTGTGCGTACTGCTCTTCCTCCTCCTCCTCGGCATATTTTTCTTTGGCGTTGACCGAGTACGAGCGAAATCTGTTCTTGTTGATATCTGCAATGTTGGCCAAGTACGGGTGTACCAGCGTAGCACGCGGCTGTTGTGGGGTATCGGCCAGTCCAAGATAGTCCAGGGTTCTCATCTGCATGTCATTGTCCCCGTTCCCTTCTCGGGAGAACGATGACTGGGCAGGAGAACTGGGCTGGTTCGATCCCTGACTGGCAATGCTGGCCAGCGTGGAGGTGCGCTCTCGGCCAGATGCCCAGTTGGTGGAGAAGACAGATGGGCCGAAGGGGCCGGGGCCATTCGAAAACTGGCTCCGCTGTGGCATGGATCCGGCACGAAGTCTGGAGAGGAGCGCCGCGTTATTTGCCGTGATGGTGTTCTCGAGAATCTCGCCTACCGAGGCCGGAGACGGTCCCTGGAACGAAGTCTGCGTGGGAGCTGCTGGTCTCGAGCTCTTCGCCAGAGGTGGGACACTGCCCGCTCCATTTGTAGCTCCTCCGGGCGAGAATCGGGATGGAACGGTGCCAGCTCGTGCTCGGCGCGCGGTGGCTGGGAGGGATTCCGGGGCGGGGAGTGGTTCGAAGTCGGGGAAGCCATCCGTTGGAGACTCTGGGATGGTTTCGCGCAGGGGAGTCGAATTGCCGCTGGTCGGAGGTCCCCAAGGAATGAGGCCCTCTTGGGCTTGGATTTCTCGAGCTCTGTCACCGTCGTTAGCACGCGTTCGGCCCTACTCGTAGATGTCTTCCTACCTCTTGGAGTACAATCTGCTGTTGACACTCAAGTCGTGCGATGGAGAGCCTGCCCCCGATCGCGAGTTGTTGGCCATCTTGCCTGCAGCGTTCAAGCCACCCGCCAATCCAAAGGGCGATCGGAGAGCGTTCCCGCTGGATGCTTCTGTGGGAGAGTTATTTGTCGTCGACGAGTTGGAACGACTGAGCGGTGCGGGAGGGAGGTAGCCCAGGGTGAGGTCGGATCTTCCAGATGATGATGACATTATAGATTATTCGTCCACCGCAAGTCTCTCGAATCTGGCACGAGAGAGGGGGTAGGAAGAGGAATGCGAATATAGTCTTGATGAAAGATGCTGAGGGTTCGACAGACAGAAAAGCCGGGGGCAATTTCGAATCTATCGAGGTGAAGCGTGGCGAGACGAAGCGACACGAGACGAGACGAGAAAAGGAAGTTGAAACCTTTAGACTGTGGGTCGGGCCACCGAGCGGGTTATGTTGCCTGAGCTGAGCTGGAAGGATCGTAAGGGGGGGAGGTGGGTTTGGGGGGAGGGGGGGGGGGGGTGGTTGGGGCGGAGGTTTTGATTTGGCGTAGGGAAAAAACCTTTGACCAAAGGGTCCGATCTATTAAAAAAGCAAAGGTTGGCTGGCCTCTTAGGTCACTGCCGGCCGGGCTGGGATCAGAGTACTGGGACTCTGAGTGCTGCTGGACTTTGAAGTGAGGAAGTGAGGGCGCCGCAGAAGAGACTTCTGGTGGATGAAGGAATGGAAGGAAAGAAAGGGGAGGGGCCGATAGGGGCGTCCGTGAAGCAACGTGGTACGGGCTGGTCTGCAGGCAGAGCGCAATTGGGGGGGGGGGGGGGGAGGTGATGGTGGAGGGTGGTGATTTTTTTTTTTTTTTTTTTTTTTTTTTTTTTTTTTTTTTTCTTTCTTCTTCTTCTTTCTTTGTGAAGGTACAGTCGTCGATCGTAGCTTCGTCGGAAGAAGGTATCGGAGGTTCAAAGGTGGGTTTTGCAAGGTGGGTTTGATCCAAAAGAAAGGGGATGGATGGGGAAAGGGGAAGTGGAATTGCGCAGCAGCTCGGAGACGGCGTGACGAAGCTGGGATTAAGCTTTTTTTTGGTCGAGGCAGAAAAAGGAGGGCAGAGTCTATCTATCTACGTATTGGTGCCGATGCGAATGCCGATGCGGATGCAGGTCCAGAAGTCGAGGTCGGAGTCCAGGTCCAGGTCCAGGTCGAGGTCGAAGTTGAAGTTGAAGTCGAAGTCGATGCTGGTGATGGGGTTGATATAGCGAAGTTGTCAGCCGCGGGTAATTACTAACAAGAAAAGAAGCGTTGGGTAAGATGAAGAAGAGAGAGACAGGACAGGACGTGCGTGTCGTCGGTCGACAATAGCCAGGAAGAGAACAAGAGGTTGCCGAGAGAGCGAGAGGGCGAGGCGGCTCCTTGAAGTAGCGAGGCCGCCGATGGAGAGTGGAGCCCGACGGCCCCTCCTCACTGGCTGTGGGTGTACGGGGCTGCTGGGGCTGCTGGGGCTGCTGGGGCTGCTGGGGCTGCTGGGCTGCTGGTCGGGTACGGAATCCCGGGTTGAGGATTCTTGTACCGTACCGTAATCGTTGTCTGTATGGTTGTCGTATGTACTACGTATGAAGAAAGTCGAGATGGGGAGTCGCGATCGAGTTGCGATCGTGTCGCGCCTGAAGACGAAGTTCGGCTTTAGTCCCTTGTTCCCTTTCCCTCGTACTGCCACTCCCACTGCCTCTCCCACTCCTTCCTGGCTTCGCTTTGCTTATGCTTCGTCTCAACTCTGCCGCAGTCTTCAGGTTCCGGAGATCGCGACGGCTATTGGCCAGCCTGGCCGTGTTTCAACTTTGCACGACGCAGGACAGGACTTGGGACCTTGGGACCTTGGAATCTTGGTCTCTTGGTCGCTTGGGCTCTTGGGCTCTTGGTCTCTTGGTCTCTTGGGATCTTGAGATCTTGCGATCTTGGTACTACGTATCTTGGTATCTGAGGACTTGGCCCGGGATGATCAGGTGCCCAAGATAGAAAAACTATGCTATACCGGTATGCTGTAGGTATCGAATTCCACCATCAAGTCCCCCCATCAATCCGGCGCCGCTACATGTCCATGTCGAGGGAAGGGAAGCCCGTTTCAGTTTCACATCATGATTCCTCTCGTTCGTCTCGTCTTCCAAACGTCTTCCTCCCAAACCTCTTCCTCACATGACCCGGGCTACATTATGCATTCGCTTTCGCTTTCTCTTTCCCTCTCCCTCTCCCTCTCCCTCTCCCTCTCCCTCTCCCATTCCCTTTCCCTTTCCCTCTCCCTTTCCCTGTTCCCGTTCCTTTTCCCTTTCGCCTCCGCCTCCGGACGGGGACGGCTACCAACAACATCTCAAATCCCCCCGATCAAACCGCCCCAGATCCACCCAGGCCTATCTTTGGACCTGTGAACGAGCACCCGCACCCGCACCCGGACCTGGAGTCCGTAGTACACGGTTGGCACGAGCTCGACGGCGGCTCCTGACAAGACCACCACCGACCGGTGAAGCAGCTCGCAAATACCTACTGTACATACCTAGTACAAGTAAGTATTCCATACAACCATACAATAGAAACAGCCCTAAACAAAACTGTCTGGAACGCCCTGCCCGCACGCAAACTCTCTTTTCCATACCTTACGTACTAATTACCCCCGTACCGTAGCCAGCCAGTTTCAGAACCCACCCTTGTGTGTTACAAGAAGCGAATCTTTCTAGAACTACCGGATAAGTACCTCCCATCCGGCGAGTCGTGTTTTTGACCGTGCACGTATTATTTTAGTCCCGTCCGTCCATCGTTATAATGCCTCAACTTCGCCGGGAGGACCAGGCGAGGATGAGACCTGCTGCTTTCGCATCAATAGACGACGGCACACACGAAGTACAAGCATATGGTACCTACTACCGTACTAGGTACATCTACCTATCTGTAAATCCATACCCGGCTTCGATGGATCTCGGCCCGTCATCCGATCTCCGCGTCAAGGGCTCCTCATGCGTTCCGACCGATATACATACATTTCTACCTCCTACCTCCTACCTCCCTGTGGTGCTCTGGGACAATCCAACAAAAAGCAATAGTAAAACATGGAACACAAGCCTAAGGGCCCAGAACGAACTATGGCCTACCATTCTGCAACGCATAAAAAGATTCCCGGGAGACCGCCATATGCGACAGTATCTACACCGAGGCAACAACAGAAATATATAGATGAAAATGTACGGCGGTCCAGCGAGGCCCATGCCCGCAAGCAGCCAGCAGCGGATAGCGAGCTCGGTGGGAAAATCCATGTGTTGTTGTGTCGCGAACAAGAAAATGTTGGTGAGTCGCGGGATCTTTCCCTCTTCTCTTTCTGCATGAAAGCCGCAGTAGCCTGCTAGCTTCATATACAACATATCTGTATACATATAGATCCAAAGACGGATATATATCCGTACAGACCTACCCACGACGACGCATCAGCTCCTCGATCACCTTGTCATTATGAACTTTCTTACCTGGTCCATAAATACACACTTCAAGCTTGATTCGGTACAAAAACAATCTATCTAACTGTCCATCCACCGATAGTCTAAAAGTAAGTTATTCTACAAAATTCTTACCCTTTTTTTTTCTACTTAATCAACCCACTTTTGTATTTCTCGCGCGTCCCTCTATTTCTCTGGCATTTCTCTCTGGCATTTCTCTCTCTCTCCTCCTCGCCGTCTGTCTCTCCATAAACTCCATCCCTCTGCTCCATATATAATATGACCCACCACTCACCACCTCTCCACACGCAAAAATCACCATCCTCGATCCTCGATCTGCATTTCCCAAAGAGTCCTGGCTGGCTGGATATAAAGGGTAACGGCAACGGGCGAAAGCTGCAGAAGCAACCGACTACCTATCTTCTGGTAAGCTTCAAAGGGACTCGCAGGCCTGGAAATTGGAGCGAGAATGTCGAATTCTGAGCCAACCATTATCTCGCCAGATATCTCCAGATCCAGATGTAGGTGTATGTATCGGTATATGGTAATTATATATGGTGCATGGTGCATGGTGTGTACCGAGATTCCGTCATCTGGCTGATTACTTCTGGATTTGAGATTGAACCTTTCTTTCCCCTTCAATCTCTACCGACCAGCTAGATCCGAAGAATGGTGATCGAAAGACGGTCTTAGAACCAGATTCTCCGTGGATTGATGTTTTTAATATGGTATTGAGAACTTCCTTTTTTGGGGGGGCATTGTTGAGTGGATCACAAGGGACTGCTGGTCGAACAGGCTGAGGTTGATATTAAATCGTTAGGGCTTAGCTTTCTAATTCTTAATATGCTTGTCGCTATGCAGATCTGCGCCCTTGACACTGAAGATAGAATCGCTCTTGACACTTCTTCCAAGTCCTATACTAATAAGATCTCTTCCCGCTCGCTTGTCTCAGATGGCAGAGCTCTCGGCCCGGCTTCGGAGTATTGAGCCGCGTCCAACACATCACATCACTTCGACTTCAGCATCAACATCAACCACGCGCCATGCCTCCCCCCAACGGTCAACGGTGAAACACTGATACCATAACGGGGGCTCAGTCCTCTGACACCACAGCGATGGCTAACGAGGAAGATGTTCCACTGCAAGACGGCCCGGCGCAAGCATCTCCACCCCCACCCCCTTCCCCTTCCCCCTCTTCCTCCTCCGGCGAAGACGAAGCCCCCCAAGTCGAATGGCTCGCCACCGGCCGCGCGAAGCGCTCCACAGCCGGAAACCGCCTCCACTCCCTCCTCCAGCAGGAAGAGACCGATGATGAGCTCGAACTCCTCTTCGCAGAAGCCGACGACGATGCCGGCTTCTCAGACCACGAGGCCGACTCGGACGTGCAGATGGACTCGTCCTCGGACGAGGACGATCAAGGCCCTACCGCCGGGGATGATCTGGAAGGTGAGAAGGAGTTGGAGAAGCAGGCGAGGGCTGAGAGGTTGAAAAAGAGGAAGCAGGACGGGGGCCGGGGCGTGCCAAAGGCGTTCAAGAAGAGGGTCAAGATTGACCCGACGGTCGTGAGCGCGCCGCCTCCACGACCGAAGAAGAAATCCGAGCGCGCGAGTTGGATTCCGACGGCTGAGGAGGCGCCCACCAGAGCGTCGGCCAGAGGGACCACGAAGCAGAGTAAGGAGCAGTTGCATGCGCAGATGGTGGATCGCGAGATCAGGCGACTCAACCAGCTGGCGAATATGGATCGGGCGGCGAAGAGGAGGGAGGCCGCGAAGAAACCGCCTATGACGCAGGAGGATCGTTTGAAGGAGGCCGCGAGGGTTGAAAAGAGCAATTCGAAGAGCTTGTCGAGGTGGGAAGAGGCAGAACAACAGAGGGAGGAGGAACAGTTGGCGAAGCTGGCGGCGTTGAAGAACAGGAAGGTAGAGGGGCCGGTCGTGACGTGGTGGAGTGGGATAGGGGAGTGGGTGGGGGGGAAACTGAGGAAGGTGGGAAAGAATATGACGATTGAGGACAAGGAGAAGCCGAGTAAGAAGCGGAAGCTCAACGAGGATGAAGATGAGGTTGTGGAACCTGTGCCGCCAGAATCGACGGGGGGTGTTAAGGAGAAGGATGTATCTGTATCGACGGGAGCAGGACCCTCAGCGACTGCTCCCAAAGAGCCCAGCCCTGTTGTACAAAGGACATCACCAAATCAGTTCGCAAAGCCCTATGTGCCCCCTCCAGAGATGCGATTTCAGCCTCCGGCGCCGTCACCTCGCTACATTCCTGGGCCGCCCAACTCTTCCGTTCTCGCCCCTCCTGCTGGACTTCCCTTGAGCGCACCCCCACCTCCTCTGAATGGCTTACACAGACCCTATATCATGGGTCCTTTCGCACTCGACGGGTCCGCCCCCTTACCAGGCTTTGGAATCTACGCACCACCTCCCCCTTTCACCCCCTCCACACCGTTCACACCGAACCGCCCTTCGCCACTACCGCCCCCCGAAGTTCCCCCTCCACCCCCTACCATCGAGCACGGGGCGTGCAACTACCTGATCCTCGAAAACTTCAACGAAACCGCCATCAGAGACAAGAACGTACAAACCCAGATCTTGTTCGGGAGGAAATTCATCAAAGCCCCCAGTATGCCTCCCTCTCTCCTGTTCCCCTCCCTCCCCATCCTCTCTTCCCTTCTTCCTCGGCCCTTCTTCTTCCCCTCCTGAGTGCATCTCTGACGACTAGCCGCCCTCAGGACTCCGTCCCCCGCCTGTCCTCTGCGTCATCACCGGCCACCCGGCCAGATACCGCGACCCGGCCACGGGTCTGCCGTACTACAGCGCCCACGCCTACAAGGAGATCCAGAAGCTGAAGCGCGGGGAGTACAAGTGGAGCGCGCTCGTGGGCGCTTATGTGGGCGTTGGGGGCTGTGCCGCTAGGGGTGTGCCGGGGAGGTTCCTGGATGCGAAGGCGCCTGGACCTGTGACTGCGACTGCGACGGTGACGACGACAGCGACAGCGACGGCGAGTGCGGGTGCGAGTGCGGGTGCGACTGTCGCAGTACCTGAGCCGAGTGTTGGGCCGAGTGTCGGTGGTGGTGGCGCGACGACTTCAGATGGCGCTTGCGTAGCTGGGGATGTCAAGACGAGCGTAGGGACGAATCCAGGAACCACCGTGGGCGCGAGTGCGACCGCGATTGGGCCTGCAAATACAAATGTAACAAATGCGAATACCCTGTAAAGATTAAAGAATGAAATAATACGTATTTATATATATATATCCAAACTCCTGCGCGAGCGAGCGACCGAGCGAGGATCTTGGATGAGATGGGTCTTGGGATGGGAATGTGATGAGTATCTTATCGGATAGGATGGGATAGTATGGTATGGGATAGGATAGTATGGGATGGGATAGAATGAATTGAATGAATTGAATTGAATGGAATAGGTATTTGGATTTTATGTTTGTATATATGTATATACATATACACATACATATACATATACATACATACACATACATACACATACATATACATACATATACACATACATATACACACATACATACACATACATACATATACATATACACACACATACACATACGTATCTATTTTTCTTTTTTTAAAAAAAAGGGGGGTCCTACTGTAGAATCTTTCGACCCTTTCGAATCTTATCCATCATTTTATATCATTTTACATCATGTCATTTTACACCACCTCCCATCACATCTCGCTGATCAGCTAGCTAGCTAGCTGGCTGATGGGAAAAGCGTCGTCGTCGTCGTCTCCTGCAGGGAGTGTTTGTGTTAGTTAGCTTAGCTATTAATTAGCTTAGCTATTAATTAGCGAGGTTTGGGCTTGGGCTTGGGCTTGGGCTTGGGCTAGGTAGGTAGGTACTTCTGATGTGGATTGCGGGATGGGGTGGGATTGGGATTGGGATTGGGGATGTGTATTTGGCATGATTGGGAGTGGTAGGTAGGTAGGTAGGTAGATAGATAGATGGATAGATAGATGGATAGATGGATAGATGGATAGGTAAGTAGGCTAAGAGCAAGCAAGCAAGCAAGCAAGCAAGCAAGCAAGGAGACGAAACTCACCTGCGAGGGATTATTCTCGATAATCAATTGATAATTGATAATTCACAGTGATTGATAGTTCATTTGAGGGGTCGTGTGTGTGGGATCTTTGGTCGTGGTGGTGGGCATGTGTATATAGGTAGACATAGATAGATATATACTTACTTATTGATTGATTTTCTGTCCGTCTTCTGCCTTTCTGTCTGTCTGTATGTCTGCCTGCTTATCCTCACAGAGATGATACATACCTATATATATACATACAGTACCTACCAAACACCTACCGGTACCCTCAGCCAGCCACCCACCTAAGGGAGAACATCAAAAAATCAAAATAAAGACATCCAGCTACCTAGGTACCAGTACCGGTACCAATCACTTCTCAACCACGCAATAACCACAGATTCAAATCCCTCCTTCCCCCAACCNCC